CTGGTCTAGGAAGGTGGCCAAAGCAGGGATAGAAGTGAGGGAATGAGGAAGGAAGAATCAAGGAGCTTGGCAACAGTCTGGGAGAGTGTAGAGAACTAGAAGGACAACTGGAGATAGAAAGCTGGTTGGGGAAGATGTGTAACTTTGAGGTGACTGCTTTGTGGGGTCAACCAGTAGACAAAATGAAACTGAACCTAGAAGAAAGATCAGACTGGGATGGAGACAAGAGTCCTTTGCTCGAGACTGTCTGAAAGGACTTCTGAACTTACAACTCCTCCAGACCCTCTCGTGTCTGGCTTTGAATGTCCTCTCTGTAGCACCCACCTCAGGGCCTTTGCATGTGCTGGGTGCCCTGCCTGGAATAGTCTTCCCCTTCTCAACTAAGATGTTACCTCTCCAAAGAGGCCTTCCTTAGCACTCTATTTAAATAGGTCCCCATCGCATTGTTCCTGGACTCAGCACCTACTTTGTCCACTATTTTTCAAAATCTATAATTGTTTTACTCAATTTCCTTGTCAATTGTCGTCCCCACCCCCAGCCAATAAAGTACCTGTTCCATGAGTACCAGGATTGGATGGGCTTGTTCACTGCTGTATCCACAGCTCCCAACATACAGTAGGAGCCTAGCAAATATTTAGGGAATGAATGAATGACCCAGCCCTACCTATCTCCTCATAACCCCCTTTTTCTGATTCTCTGCTCCTTTGAAACTGGTTTCCCCATCACGCTCTCCTCATTCCCTTCTCCTATGTGCCCCTACTTGGAATGCCCTTTTACCTCTGCCCCTTCAAACATTGCCAAAGGCTCAGCTGGACCTGGACTGGACCCCCTCTGGGAAGCCCACTTACCCCTGGATCAATCGCCCTTGTGAAGTGAACAACCTGTACAACTGTGCATGATGGCCCTACTCCAAGCACCACTACTTATATGTGACCTTGAGCAAAGTCACTTCAGCTCTCTAGGCATTTCCCGCCGTTAATTCTATCCTTGGGGTTTTATCTAAGGGAAATCATTCACAAGCAGAGAAAAGCCAAAAATGCCCAAAGATGTACTCTGAAGCATTATTTAAAATAGAAGAAAAAAATGTAGGGGTGCCCGGGTGGCTCAGTAGGTTGAGCATCCGACTCTTGATATCAGCTCGGGTCGTGGTTGGGCCCCACGTCGGGCTCCACACTGAGCATGGGGTTTGCTTGAGATTCTCTCTCCCTCTCTCTCTCCTCCTCCCCTGCTCTCTCTCTCAAAACAAATAAATAAATTAACTTAAAAAAAAATTAAAGAAAATAGAAGAAAATTTTTCAACAACAAAAATGTTGAATGTTAACCACAATAAAAGCTACTGTTTGTTTACTGAGTGTTTGAACAGGCCAGGCAGCACGTGGGGGCATGAAGAGCTGTTGTTAAGAGCACGGGTCGCAGAGCTTCAGCTCTCTTGTGATCTTGAGCCAATGACTTACCTCTTTGACCCTCAGTTTCCCAATCTGTAAAATGGGGATGATGACGGCTCCTACCTCATTGGCTTTTTGTTGTTGTTAGGCAAACTTTCTATCGACTACAATCCAAATACAGAAAGGTATACAAATAAATGTGCAACTCAGTGACACATACAAATATGGTCCTGTAATCTGGGCAGTTTTGAGGATCACATGAGACAACACCTGGGGAGTACTTAGGGTGCCAGTGATGAACGGCTAATGTCACTCGTGCTGTATTTCATGCGCATTGTGCTAAGCACTTGCCACGTATTATTTTTATTAAATCCCCACGGTAACTACCTTGTAGTGGCTACAAGACAGGCACTGATATTACCCTCATTACAAATAAGGAAACTAGATTCGGAGAAGCTAAATATACCGGCCAACGTCACAAAGTTAATAAATGACAAAGGGGAGAGAGGAATCCAAAACCCTCCTCTCCAACCACTTGATTCCCCTGAAATAAACTAACAAGTCGACTAGTCAGTTAAAAAAAAAAAAAAAAAAAAAATTGGGTAGTCAATGAGCAACTCAGAAAACTGTGGTCTTCTGAATTCTTGAGTCAATTAAATATTTATTGATAGGCTATGTGCCAGGCACTGTTGTAATCACTGGAGACACAGAGCAAGTGAGATCGAAAAGTCCCCTGGCCTCACAGAGCTTACATTCTCTGTTAGGAGAAGACAGACATGAAAATAAATAAAGATAATTTCTGAGAGTAATAAATACTATCAAGAGAAGAAAACAGGACAGTGGGATGGAGTGAGACTTACAGTCAGGGGGGCTGCTTCAAATAAGATATAAGCCCTGGTGGCTCAGTCGGTTAAGCATCCGACTTCAGCTCAGGTCATGATCTTGCGGTCCGTGGGTTCGAGCCCTGCATCAGGCTCTGTGCTAACTGCTTAGAGCCTGGAGCCTGCTTTGGATTCTGTGTCTCCCTCTCTGCCCCTCCCCTGCTCATGCTCCGTCTCTCTCTCTCAAAAATAAATATAAAAAAAATTTAAAAATATATTAAGCAGCCATTCTCAAATATCATTTTGCAAACTAAAACCTGGGAAAAGGTAACATAAAAAAGAAGAAACCACGATGATCACTATGACAGTTTTTGTGCACACCTCGTCCCAGCCTTTGCTAGACGGACGGACAAAACTGTCAGAAAAGTGAAAAAGATTTATTGAGGTGGCATGATGATGAGGCCTTTTTAATTTCTTTTTTCCTTTATGAAAAATACCTGCTATTGTCACCTGACGGTCTACCTAATTCGTTTAAAGTTAAGAAAAAAGAAGCAGCATTCCAGGAGTCTCACACAGACCAAAGAAGACAGTTCTCTGGTTACTGGGAAGGCTAAGCACATGAGAGGGATATATCATCTTAGCAAACATGCTGTGCGATCTCAAGCAAGTTACGCTCCCTCTCTGGGCCACAATACTGAACATGCAGACTGCCTGGTACATCTGACAAAAGTGGGGTCCCTCATAGATGAAGGAAGGCACTGGCAAAACCAAGCTACATGCTATTCATGTAACACATACTTATAAGAATACTTTTTTTTCAATCGCAAGGAAAAAAAAACGGAATCAGTAATAAAAATCAATCCAGAGAATGAGAAAACAAGCCATGGATGGGAGGAAATATTTGCAAAAGACATGTTTGATAAAGAACCGTGACCCAACGTCTGCAAAGAACGCTTAAAAGTCAACAATAAGAAAATGAACAACTCAATTAAAACACGGACAGAAGATCTGAAGAGCTCACCAAAGAAGATATACGGATGGCAAATAAGCATATGAAAAGATGCTCAACATCATATGTCATTAGGGGATTGAAAATTAAAACAAAAATGAGATACCATGACACATCCATTAGAATGACCCAAATTCAAAACACTGACATCACCAAATGCTGGCAAGGATGTGGAGAAACAGGAACTCTCATTCATTCTGGGGGGAGGTAAAATGGCACAGCCACTTTGGAACCCAGTTTGGCAATTTCTTATAAGACTCAACATACTCTTACCAGAAGATACAGGAATCAGGTTCCTCAGTATGTGCCCAAATGAGTTGAAAACTTATGCTCACACAAAAACCTGCATGTAAATATTTATAGAGGCTTTACTCATAATTGCCAAAACTTGAAAGCAACCAAATGTCCTCCAGCAAGTGAATGGATAAATAAACTATGGTACAACCATACAGTGGAATATTATTCAGCACAAAGAGAGAGAGAGAGTGAGAGAGAGAGAGAGAGAGAGAGAGAGAGAGAGAGAGCTATCAAGCCACTCATAAAGACATGGAAGAAATTTAAAGGCATATTATATTACTAAGTGAAAGAAACCAATCTGAAAAGTCTATATATTATGTGATTCCAACCTTATGACATCCTGAAGAAGGCAATATGGAGACAGTAAAAAGTTCAGTGGTTTCCAGGGGTTTGGGGAAAGGGAGAGATGAATAAGTGAAGTATATGGAATTTTTAGGGCAGTAAAAATATTCTGTATAATACTATAATGGTAGATACATGTCATATACATTTATAGAAACTCTTACATGCTAAGAGCGAACTGTAATGTGAGCTAAGGACTTTGGGTAATAATGACATGTCAAAGCGGGTTCATTGATTGTAAAAATGTGCCACACTGGTGCATCATGTTGATGGTGGTGGATATTGATGGGGGAGACAGGGGATATATGGGGACTGTCTGCACCTTCTGCTCAATTTTGCTGTGAATGTAAAACTGCTCTAAAAAATAGGTTATTGGGGTGCCTGGGTGGCTCAGTCACTTAAGCATCTGACTTCGGCTCAGGTCATGATCTCACGGTTCATGAGTTCCAGCCCTGCGTCTTCAGGTTCTGTGCTGACAGCTCGGAGTCTGGAGCCTGCTTCAGATGCTGTGTCTCCCTCCCTCTCTATAACCCTCCCCCGTTCGCATTCTGTCTCTCTCTCTCTCTGTCTCTCTCTCTCTCTCTCACTTGAAATTAAATAATAAATATTGAAAACAATTTTAATAAATAAATAATTGTTTTTAAATAGGTTATTAGGGGTGCCTGGGTGGCTCAGTCATTTAAGCATCTGGCTCTCGATTTCGGCTCAGGTCATGATCTCACCGTTAGTGGGACCAAGCCCCGCATCGGGCTCTGCTGACAGTGTGGCACCTGTTCGGGATTCTCTCTCCCTCTCTCTGCCTCTACCCTGCTCACACTCTCTCTCTCTCTCTCTCTCTCTCAAAATAAATAAACATTAAAAAATTAAAAATAGGTTATTCGCTTTTCAAAAATCAGTATAAGAGGGGTGCCTGGGTGGCTCAGTCAGTTGAGCGTCCGACTTCGGCTCAGGTCATGATCTCATGGTTCATGAGTTCGAGTCCCGCGTCGGGCTCTGGGCTGACGGCTCAGAGCCTGGAGCCTGCTTCGGATTCTGTGTCTCCCTCTCTCTGTGCCCCGTCCCCACTCATACTCTGTCTCTCTCTCCCTCAAGAATAAATAAGACATTAAAAAAAATTTTTTTTTAAATCAGTATAAGAAAACAAAGAAACATTCATGGATAGAATTCTTAGCTCCGGTGGGGGACTGGGAAATTCCTGGAAGATCTTTGCTCCTTGAGGTCTGCCGCCGCTCATGCAGGAAGGAACAAGAAGTCATGTATAAGATGAAGAAACTGGGCTCCCAACAGCCTCTCTTCACCGCACACTTACTGCGCACTGAGCCCCGTGCTCCACGTGAATCATTCCATGTGTTCTTTCCACAGCCGAGTGAAAATGTTTCTATGGTGCGAAAGGGTTGAAAATGATTATTCCCAGGGAACGGGAGGAAACTGAGGCTGGGGCGCATCCATCTGCCCCGTCACCCAGCTGTGTATGGGAGGCTGTGCTCTAAGTCAGGAGGAGAGATTGGGAGCTCCGGGGGCTCTCTCTGCCCTCACGTTCCACACTGCCATGAGCTGGTTTGTCTTTTCTGGAGGCCCAAGTGGGGGGCCCTGCTCACTCGGGACATTGGATTCCTGGAAAGACAGTGCTGTGCCCTTAGGGGACTGAGAGTCTGACTGCCTGCAGCTCGGCTTCAGGCAGGAATTTCACACCTTCCCAGACCCTAGACCACAGGTGGAGGGTGTCTGGGGGACAGGCCAAGTCGGCCTGCGAGGCTGGGAAGGGTTGTTCCCACAGAGAAAGGGCTCCTTCTCCAGTCCTCAGCCACCTGTTCCCCAGACCCGCCCTCTCCACCTCTGTACCTCCTCTTTGGAACGCTAAATCTACGGACTGGTGGGGCTGGCTGGGTATTAATAGCTGGAGTCTGACGTTGGTGCTGATTAGAAAGGCATCCTGGCAGCCAAGACTCTGAATGCCTTTCAGCCCATCTCTCCAAGCCTCCCATGACCCTGAAGAGGATGAGGGTGGCAGGATGATGATGATGATGATGATGATGATGATGATGATGATAATGACATACCAGTTACCCTGCTTTGAGGGCCACAGTGCCAAATGCATCACCCACACTGTTGCGTTCAATCCCTACCTGTACTTTTAGTACCTCCACTTAATATACAGAGAAATTGAGGCTGGTGAGAGGTCAAGTAAGTTGCCCCAGGCCTCACAGCAGGGAGCAGCCGGGCAGGGACTCAAAACTGTCTGCCAACAGCAGCAAGCGCTCCTGTGGTTGACGGAGCCAAAGACGTGTGTCCTGCTGGAGTCCCGGTAAACACGGTGGCCCAGTCCCCTTAACCTCCAGGAGCAGAGCTGACTCGTACTGGGGATGGGAGGGGATGAGCTTCCAGGCAGGACGGGGCCTATGCGTCCGAGGGGCAGGGCCAGAGCCAGCCTGGGAGAGGAGGTGCTCTCCCCGGGCTTCTGGTGTGGGGAGGCGGGTGACAGGGAAACCAGGCCTGTGATTACCCCTCTGCTCACCTCTTCTCTTGCGGTTCTGCTTCTCCCTCCCTCACACATCTCTTCACTCCTTTGAGGTGTTTGACTATTTGGGAGAGACAGTCAATCACAGGGACAGGAAAGCAAAGAGGCCCATTTGTCCCTGGGCTCGTAGTCACAAAGGCCTCAAATCTAGGCGCTTGGCATTAGCTTTCGAGGGGCGGCGTGGCACAGTGGTCGCTTAACCACTTACCGCCAGACTGCTGGGCCTCCCTTCCAGGTCTGCCACTTAGGGCTGTGTAGCTTCGGTAAGGTTCTTGAACTACTCCGTGCCTCTGTTCCCCTGTCTGTAAAACAGGGAGAAACGCCCACGTCCATAGGGTTGTTGTGAAAATCAACCTAGTTAATAAAAGTAAAGGGTACATTTCTGCAAGCTTAAAAAGCCTGGCACAGGGGCGCCTGGGTGGTTCAGTCGGTTAAGCGGCCGACTTCGGCTCAGGTCATGATCTCGAGGTCCATGAGCTCGAGCCCCGCGTCGGGCTCTGTGCTGACAGCTCAGAGCCTGGAGCCTGTTTCAGATTCTGTGTCTCCCTCTCTCTGACCCTCCCCTGTTCATGCTCTGTCTCTCCCCCTCTCAAAAATAAATAAAACGTTAAAAAAAAAATTAAAAAAAAAAAAAAAGCCTGGCACAGAATAAGCGCTCAATCAGTGTTACACTCCATCATCGGCTATTTCCAAGCGATGTTCCGTGCAGAATAACAGAAGGGAAAGGAGACGTTCATCAAGGAAACTTTAAAAACTCCTCTCCCATACTGCACCATTCAACACAACCACATTTACTCCATTTCCTTCCGATTATTCTCCTGTCCATCATTTTTACAACTCGACAGTCACAGCGTACTGAAAAGCCGCGCAGCCTTGGGACTTGTTTTTCATTTCACGTGTTATCCCAAACGTTTTCTATAATCGTCCAATAGGATTGAACTGAGGGCCTGGTCCGTGCTGAGCGCGGCTCTGGGCTCTGGGCACACGGCCACCAGCGGGAACAGACAAAGCCATCCCCTCTAGGAGCTTACATTCTAGCGGGCATTGCCTTCAGAACTCATTCTTTTCCATCGAGGTCTCATCACACAAACAGAGAACACACACAGGAAATGCAGAGTTCAAGGAATTTTTACATATGTACTCATCCACGTCACCATCACCCAGGTTAAGATCCAGAACATTTCCATCACCCCAGAAGACTCCTTCACCTTCCCCATCAATAACCACCCCACTTCCACAAAGATTAGTCTCACCTGTTTAAGAAGAGGACCTACTCCTTTGGGAATGCCTACTTTCTAATGGCTGCAGAATATCCCATCCTATCGATATATTGTTGGACACATTTTTTGCTTTCAGTTTCTCACTGTTATCAATAATGCTACAGGGACTGTCGCATTTTCAATTACCTCCTTAGCCTAGACTCTCAGAAATGGGATTGATTTTTGAAAGGGTACTTAGTAAACATTGACAGGTTGCTTCCCTAGAATGTTGTAGGGTCCCACCAGCAGTGGGAGGAGCAAGCTACAACCACACAGCATAACCAGAGTGCAGCTCAGGCACCTGCCTTCTTGGCTAGAATCGCCTAGAATTTTAAGAATTCCTGGCATATAATACAGTGCGACAGAGGTCTGACGGGCATGAGAAAGGCTCACTAGGCAGGATCTCTCTTGGTCCTGAGTTTGGGGCTGAGCTTTACCACATCAGAACCATGACTTCTCGAAGCACACTGAAAGGGAATTCATCTTTCACTGATGGATTAACAAAAACCAAGCGGCAGAGGCAGATTCAATCACTAAAGCAGATATCAATCTAGGAATTTACCAAGATACATTGAACAGTCAGGGAAACAAGAATGTGCATACCGGCGTGCCCTCTCTCTGTTAGAAGGCCACAGGGAAAGCCAGCTTATGAGAAAGTTTCTCGGTGGCTCAGTCTGTGTTCCCCAGAAGGTAGGGCTGGTGAGAAGGAAGCTCTGACATGTGAGGAGAGGACATCTTATCCTCAGCTCAGCGGACTCCCTCAGATCTGGGTCCTTAAGGAAAACTGAGGTCAGCCCCACACTCTTTGACAATTCCTCCTTCTCATGCCAAATTTCCAAACCCCAGATCCTGTACAATCTCCCACCTGCCCTTCAGTCTAATTGTCCCCTCTTTCCTGGTCACAGCCTCATCTACGCCACCACCCATCGCCTCTGGCCTAGACCTTTGCAGCCAACTTCCCGCCGTTCCTCCCGCCACCCTTGGTCCAACCTCCACCTGGCAGCTAAGTGATCTTTTAAACTGCAAATCTGATCATGTTTAAAATCTCTACCTAAACCCCGTCGGTGATGGAAGGATGAATGGGTAAGCAAAACGTGGTGTGTACATACAATGGAAGATTATTCAGCCTTAACACGAAGAAATGCTACGCTTGATGCATGAATTGAAGGCATTATGCTAAGTGAAAGAAGGCAGACACAAAAGGACAAATACGCTTAAATATCATACAGTGCTTTTATGAGTTACCTGGAACAGGCAAGTTCATAGAGACAGAAAGTAGGATGGCAGTTGCCAGAGGCTGAGAAGGAGAGGGGATGGGGAGTTAGTGCTTAACGGGGACAGAGGTTCAGTTTCGGAAGACGAAGGAGTTCTGGAGATGGATGGTGATGGCTGTGCCACACTGTGAATGTACTTAACACTGAACTGTACCCTTAAAAATGATCAACTTTGGGGCACCTGGCTGGCTCATTCAGTGGAGCATGTGACTCTTGATCTCAGGGTCGTCAGTTCAAGCCCCATGCTGGATGTGGAGACTGACTTAAGGTTAAAAAAAAAAAAGTCAACTTTATGTTATATATATTTTACCACAATTTAAAAAAACAACTTCGATGACTCACTTTTATCTCAAGATCCATAACAGGGTCTACCGGACCCTGCAGGATCTGGCTCCTGCCTCATGTTGGACGTTTAAGGCTGATCAGCACACCTCTGCCCCCTTCAACTGGGGTTGGGCCCTATTAAGAAACAGGAACAGGAACCCACAAACGTATGGCCAACTAATCTTCGACAAAGCAGGAAAGAATATCAGTGGAATAAAGACAGTCTCTTCAGCAAGTGGTGTTGAGAAAACTGGACAGCGACATGCAGAAGAACGAACCTGGACCACTTTCTTACACCAGACACAAAAACAAACTCAAAATAGATGAAAGACCTAAACGTAAGACAGGAAGCCATCAAAATCCTCGAGGAGAAAGCAGGCAAAAACCTCTTTGACCTCAGCCACAGCAACTTCTTACTCCACACGTCTCCAGAGGCAAGGGAAACAAAAGCAAAAATGAACTATCGGGACTTCATCAAAATAAAAAGCTTCTTCTGCACAGTGAAGGAAGCAATCAACAAAACCAAAAGGCAACCAATGGAATGGGAGAAGATATTTGCAAATGACATCTCAGATAAAGGGTTAGTATCCAAAATCTATAAAGAACTTAGCAAACTCAACACCCCAAAAAACAAATAATCCAGTGAAGAAATCGACAAAAGACATGAATAGACACTTCTCCAAAGACATCCAGATGGCCAATCGACACATGAAAAAATGTTCAACCTCACTCATCATCAGGGAAACATAAATCAAAGCCACAATGAGATACCACCTCACACCTGTCAGAACAGCTAACATTAACAATTCAGGCAACAGCAGATGTTGGCGAGGAGGGAGAGAAAGAGGATCTCCTTTGCGTTGTTGGTGGGAATGCAAACTGGTGCAGCCACTTTGGAAAACAGTATGGAAGTTCCTCAAAAAATTAAAAATAGAACTACCCTATGACCCAGCAATTGCACTACTAGGCATTTATCCAAGGGAGACAGTTGTGCTGTTTCGAAGGGGCACATACACCCCCATGTTTATAGCAGCACTATCAACAATAGCCAAAGTATGGAAAGAGCCCAAACGTCCATCGATGGATGAATGGATAAAGAAGATGTGGTATATATATACAATGGAGTATTATTCGGCAACCAAAAAGAATGAAATCTTGCCACTTGCAACTACGTGGATGGAACTGGAGGGTATCAGGCTAAGCGAAATTAGTCAGAGAAAGACAAATATATGACTTCACTCATATGAGAAATTTAAGATACAAAACAGATGAACATAAGGAAAGGAAAGCAAAAGTAATATAAAAACAGAGCAGGACAAAACACAAAAGACTCTTTTTAAAATTTTTTTAAATGTTTAATTTTTGAGAGAGACAGAGTGTGAGCAGGGGAGGAGCAGAAAGAAAGGGAAACAGAGAATCTGAAGCAGGCTCCAGGTTCTGAGCTGTCAGCACAGAGCCCAACGAACGAGAGGCTTAAACTCACCAACCATGAGATCATAACTTGAGCTGAAGTCGGATGCTTAACCGACTGAGCCACCCAGGTGCCCCCTTGAATCTCAATTTATTTAAAAAAATTTTTTTCAATGTTTATTTATTTTTGGGACAGAGAGAGACAGAGCATGAACGGGGGAGGGGCAGAGAGAGAGAGGGAGACACAGAATCGGAAACAGGCTCCAGGCTCTGAGCCATCAGCCCAGAGCCTGACGCGGGGCTCGAACTCACGGACCGCGAGATCGTGACCTGGCTGAAGTCGGACGCTTCACCGGCTGCGCCACCCAGGCGCCCCTTGAATCTCAATTTAAATGTCACTTCTTGTTTAAGGCTTTCCCTGATCTTGTATCCCTTTCACGTAAGAACAATTTCGGGTCTCTCCTCTGGGCTCATGTAACCTCCTGTGGCACTAAATGACATTGTACTGTCTTCGGTTGTTTAGGCGTCTGTCACCCCGGCTAGGCTATGAGGGCAGGGACCTTGTCCTCTTGTTCACTGCCTTTTCACCAGCATCTAGCATAATTTCTTGCACATAGTAGTTGCTCACTAAACAGCTGTTGACTTATGGATGAATAAAGTGCCCACCATGTGCCAGACACAGATTAACTCTTTGGGAGGAGTTTGTGAAGTGATATTTGCTAACTGCCCCCACCAGTAAATAAGCCCTATTCTCCAGGACACAGAGCTTGATCAAGGAAGGCCCACAATCCTTAGTGAGCCAATCAGATCCAAAGACTCAATCTCAGGACTGTTGTTGAGGAATGGAGTGGCTGACTTTCTCTTTCCTGCAGGGGCAAACTCCTGAGGCTGAACCCCTGAGACTGCTGCCTACCACCTGGGCCCACCAGAGAAGCCGGCCTTAAGATGTAGTCGGCAAAGTGGGAGGCAGCATACAGAAAGCTGAGTCTTTGGTGATATGTGAGCTGCTGGATCAAACCTTTCCTACAACGGGTATTCCCATCTCAGTTCCTCTCAGGCACACCTGCCAACTATTCCTTTTAAGTCAGTTTGATTGGGTTTCTGCCCTTGTAACACACAACTTCCAGAAAGGCCAGGGGCAGCCAAAGCTCCAACATCTTAGTATCTGCTGAGGAGCTGAATGAATCCTCAGTTTGAGATGCTCTTGGGACCTTGTCTTGTGGCCCTCCTCAACCATATTGGCTATCAGATGGGGACACCGCCTAGCAGCAGCTCTTGGCACCAAGGACAGGGGATGGGGAGGTTGGTCTTAACTACTAGCTACTCCAGCTGTTCTCAGTCCTCACTGAGGAGACAACTAGGACCCATCCAAAGACAAAACAGCTGAAGTTGTGCCTGGCCCACGACCTTCTTGGTATCCTAAATCACTTGTTTGGGGGCTGGATCAGAAATAAGCATTTCAATCTGCTTGGTGGAGGTGTAGAACTAAAGAATCAGATGTCAGAGCTGGAAAGATCTGTAGAGATGAGCTGGTCCCCTCATTATGTATAATGAAGAAACTGAGGCACGGAACAGGGAGACTTGTTCAAGGTCACAAAGCATGTTAGTGCCAGAGCTGGCACTCTCCTTAAAGGAGTTTCTCCATCAGCCTCCCCCTGCAGAGATGTGGCTGGGAAGGAGAGGGGAGAGAACATGGATGGGGATTCTCCCTGCTATGGCGAGATAGGAGCTGTTCCCCAAACAGTCACTAGTAGGCCTGGTTAGTCGTCCTTAATAATTTAGTAGTATGTTGATAACACCTTGTGACTAGCCTAGGGTGAGATGAGTTCAGAGGGTGCCATGTCTCTGATAAAGCATCAGTCATGCCTCCAGAATTTCTGCAGAGGAGGAATTTAGGGCCAGCAGCCTGGTGGGAAAGGAGACTGAGACTTGCCCTGAAGCTGCACTTGCATAGTTGGTCTACTGCTGTTACTTTGATTTCCACACTATTGACATTTTAAGCAGGATCATTCTTTGCAGTGGGTGACTCTCTTGTGCATTGTAGCAGCATCCTCGGTCTCTACCTACTGGATGTCAGCAGCACCTACCCTCCCAGTGTGATAACCAAAATGTCTCCAGACATTCTGCCAAATGGCCCTGAAAGGCAACCTGACCCATTTGAGATCCATTGTATGATCTTAATTGTATGTTTAACCGGCTGAGAGGGCATGAGGAGATTCTTCTAAAAGAAGACAGGAGATAAAAACAGGAGCCACCCTCTCCTATAAGGGAAAAAAAAAAAAAAGTTATCAGAGGGCTGGTCAGCTCTAGGCAGAACTGTGAACTTTGACCTTACCATGCAAGCTTCCTTTCTTGACCATTTTCTTCTCTTTCATGGCTCCCATTCCTACGTAGAAAAAAAAAAAAACAAACTATCCATGAAAAAATTAATATTTCTATCCATGCTAAAAGTGAGACAAGCAGGATACTATAGTTAAAATAGTTGAACTTCAAAACACAATCGTTATACTCTTAAGATGTGAGCGTTCCACTGTATGCAAACTATATCTCAAAAAATTAATTGAAAAACACATCGGCATTGTAGTCAGAACAGGGTTCAAGTCCCAATTCAGATATTTCCTAGCTGTGTGACTCTGTCTTCTTAGAACCACTGCTTCCTCGGTTGTAAAAGTGTCCTGTTTGCACAGTGCTGGCACAGGGAGGAATATGAATATTACCTATTTTATTTACATTTATAGTACCTATTTATATTTATCTGTATTTTACAGGCAAAATTGCTCCCCAGTGATTTGCTTCCTATGGACCTATCGTAATTAGGGGCATCTCCACCTGCCTCTTTGCATGGGACCCCTTTGTTCAGATAGGAAAAGTAAAGTCTGGAAACACAGCAATTTATAGGACTTGGACCTGGAGTCTTGGGTCCACCAATGACTTCCTAGGAACTTAAGTTACTGAGTTCCTCTAAGTCTCCCTTTTCTCAGCTTAGAAATGGTGTACTAGGGGCGCCTGGGTGGCGCAGTCGGTTGAGCGTCCGACTTCAGCCAGGTCACGATCTCGCGGTCCGTGAGTTCGAGCCCCGCGTCGGGCTCTGGGCTGATGGCTCGGAGCCTGGAGCCTGTTTCCGATTCTGTGTCTCCCTCTCTCTCTGCCCCTCCCCCATTCATACTCTGTCTCTCTCTGTCCCAAAAATAAATAAACGTTGAAAAAAAATTTTTTTAAAAAGAAATGGTGTACTAATACTACTCATTTCCCAGCGTTCTTGTGAGATTTTACAACGTGGCTCTAGGCCCGTCTGGGAATTCAGACCTGCCTTAAAGGCTGGGGCACCAGCTGTACTAATAGAACCTGCCACAAGGGGGCAGGATTGCTACATCCAAGTTCCCACCTGTCTAAAACTGTCATTTAATTTTTTGAGCATAGTTGTCTAACTTGTTATAATGGAAAAATTCAGACATATACCAAAGTAGAATAGTGGACCCCATGTACCCAGCACCAGGTTTCAACAACTATCAACACTTTACCAATCTTCCTCCCTCTTTTTGTTTGCTATACTGCTTGTGGGGTTGTAAAGCATAGCCCAGACCTCATTACACTTTATCTGTAACACATCCATGTGCTATTCTAATTGAAAAAGGCTTTTATTTTCACAGGCACTATGCCATTATTGCATCTGACGAAAAAGGACAATAATTCCTTAATTTAATCTATCAGTCCATGTTCAAATTTCCCTGATTGTACCAAACATGTCTTTTGACGGTAGCTCGCTTGAATCAGGATCCAAATGAGGTTATTGCATTTGGCAAGTGTCTTGATTTTTATCCTTTAACGTTCTGTCTTCCTTTTGAAATTTCACACCATGAATTTGTTGCAAAAACCAGGTCACTTGTGTAGTAGAATGTCCCACATTTTGAGTTTGGCTGATTATGGCTGATTTGCCTATCTCCCTTATTTCTGGTAAACCGGTAATTAGATCTTGGATTGATTAGACTTAGCTTCTTTTTTGCTTTTTAAGGCAACAATATTTCTTGGAGAGTGCTGAATCCTGGTGATGTTAAGTTTGATCACTGGGTTCAGGCACTGTCAGCCTAAGCTTTCCATTACAAAATTCCCCAACACCCTTTATCCAATTGTTTTAGCATCATTTCATGATCCTCACCTAGACTCATTACTTCACTAAGGTTTGCAAAATCACGATTTTCTAATCCTATCGTTTCTTTTGCATTTATTAGTCGGAATTCTTCTACCAAAAAAATAACTTTTACCTACTATTTGCCTACATCCAATATAACCGGAGGAATGACCAGAAAAAAAATGTTTGATTATTTCCCTTTATCAATGTTCACAGTAATTAGTTGACTCCCTATAAAACTCCATGGGTAACAAACATGCTGTTTTCCTTAAGTATCATTATTATTAACTAATGGGTTTTTATATATTTTATGTGTTATAACCTACTGAAGTCATTATTGTTCTTTTAATGCCGAAATTGTTCCATCTCTGGCCAGTGGGACCCCTTCATATCGGTTCCTCAGTCATCCTTACGTGACCCCAATAGTCTTTGATGGCTTCCTGGCTTCCAGGCATGAGATGATCCAGATCTGGAACCAGCCATTTATCTAAGGAGCCTTGATTCTCTTTGCTTACTTTTTAATTTTTTTGAAACTGGAAAATGGTATGTGGAGATCAAATCTGTGCATTAGGGGTGTTTGTTACTACTGGGTTCGTGATTGTTTCTAGGCCTTTTCAGCAGAGAGCTAGAAAACATTTTTTAAGAGGACAATATGTACTTTATTCATTCTGCTATCTAACTCAGATCTAAAATTATCCTAGGCTTGTTTAATAGTTTTAACTTTTTCTCATATGTTGAAATTCTTGATGCCTAATGACATTAACATGCTTATTTGCTTTATCTTTAAATATCTATCATAGTTTCAAACTAGCAGTGTCAATACTACTACTAACAACAACCAGACTAGTAAGTGAAATTTAATATTTGTATGCAGTTCTAGTTGTCCTTCGACTATATCCCGTTAGAGAAGTACAGTCAAAATACGTATAAAGCCCCTTGAAATGATTTTCTCCGTGTAGTTTTGCCACCAATCTGACATGTAATGGCTCATTTGCTCCCATCTGTTTTTTTTTATTTTTGTGGAGTGTTTTATTCTCTTTACTTAACTTTGTTTTATAAATATGCAAAACATTTACAAGTTTCCCAAACAGTCACTGTGTCATAAAGTACATTCACAGAAGTCTCATTTCCTTCCCTGCCCTCTCCATCTCACAAAGGAAACCATTTTTAGAAGACTGGGGTTTATTCTTCCCTTGTCTAACTTGTAAATATAAGCAATTAATGTAAATTTATATCACTCCATTACTTATGCAGAAGAGAGCATCTAAACACTATTGTGCATTTTATTTCACTAGCAATATATATCGACATCACTCCAGGTTAGTATGTTTATTGGTATATGTAAGAAGTCTTTCATATATCTTTTTATAGCTGCCTAGCACTTTATCCTGTGCATGTAGTGTAATTTATTCAGCCAGTTCTTTATTGACATGTGAGCAGTTTCCAGTGTTTTGCTATAAAAAAAAAAAAAAATGCCATAATGAATAATAGCCTTGTGCATACAGCTTTTTGTATTTTTGCCAATGTATCACTAGGACTGATTCTAAGAAGTTTAGGATTTGGCTTAGGATTGCTGGGTGAAATAGTAAATATATACATAGAGTGGCTTTGTGTTGCCAGATTTTCTTAATGAGTTACATTGTTTTGTCTCCTCACAAGCAACGTAGTACTATCCTCAGGTGTGTTTTGGTCCCATATCAGATAGGGGAGGCATCAGAGACGAATCATAGAGAAGATTCCTGTCCCCAGGAACTCTCAGTCTAGTGAAAGTCCTATGGGCAAACAAATAATGCTGTAACTTAATAAGCCAGGCAGATCTACCCTGAAGCTAATGAAGCTTAAGCTTGAGTCCCCTATAGAGACACTTTCCAAGGTCTCAGCAATGTATTCATGGAGCCATTCTGTAATGTTTTTCCTGAAGAGATACCCCAAATTATTTAAGCTTCAGCCTCTGTAACACGTTGATTTCACCTCACTGCCTATCTTTGGGGGTTCTGGGGATGGATTTCAAGTCTCAGTTCTGCAGTCAGCGTCAGATGAGGGATTCCTGTATTTACTGACACAACAAAAGGAAAAAGGCTCTTCTGACCAGAAGAGATACCCCTCTCCTGATTCTGATCAGTTACCCACACAGGTAATAAGGCCTTCCATAGTTTCCCTCTACTTTCAAGAGCAGAAACAGCCTTGGTTAGCGTCAGTATTCGCAGCAGACAGCTAAAGAATGGTAGATGGTACTTACAACAAAAGTCTGAACCGATTATAGAGCCGGGTATTGTTGGGTTTGGGGCAGGGTTGAGGCGGGGGGGGGGGGGGAGGGGGGCCGCGGGGAGGCAGTTACACCAGGAGAGTGGGTATTCAAAGCACACACACCCCACAAAAACACACCATTTGGTCAAATAAGGCAGAGGTCTGTTTCCTCACCTGTAAAAACAGGATTAGTAAGCCTGCCCTTGTGAGGTTTGGTCAGGATTAGTAAAGCTAATTTAAAGACCTAACCCAGTCCCAGACTCTCGGGAGAAGGTCCATAAATAGAGGACAGAAAATAAAATGGGTAAGTGGTTGATCCTTGAGATTGGTGACAGGGATGCTTTGCACATCGTGCCAATGCACCACTGGGAGGAGGAACAGCCACTTTATCGACAAATAGTAGATGCAGAATAAATTGGCAAACAAGGAACGGACGTTTCTGGCGGATGCTTACTGATCTGTGTAACTAACTGAATAATGGATTGGTCCGAGCCTCTGAGTCGCTGACAGTCCCGGGCTGGCTGTCAGGCGACTGAGGGCCGGGATCTGACGGACCGCTGTCAGTCTGGCCGCGAGAGTACAGTCGTCTTCGCGGTCCATCCCGGCCCCGGCTGCCTCGGACCGCCGCCCGTCGCCGCTCGCGGGTTGGATCCGGACTCCACGCGGGGGCAGCCGCCGGGCAGGGCGCCAGGGGCCGGCACCGCCTCCCCTTCCTCTCGGCGCCGGGCAGGGCGCCCCCGACTCCCGGCGGCCGGGGCCCGGGGACAATGAGGCGCCGGGTTCTTTAAGGGAGATACCACCGCGCCGGCGGGGCAGGGGACGGCGTCCTCCCAGATGATCGCACCCAGTCCCGCGCCGCCGCCGCCTGGGCAACTGCACCGTCCGCAAACATGGCTCAGTGACTCTGACAAAAGGTGCAGCCTCCCTCCCGGCGGGGCGGACGCCAGGCCTCCCAGCTCGGGCCGCGCCTCCCCGCGGGCCCGCCGAAGAGCTCCGCGTCCCGCAGGCACCCCAGGCCCGAGCCGAAGAAGATGCACCAGGCGTTCCGCCCCAGCGACCCCCGCACACCTGCCCGCAGCTCGGTAGGTGGGAAGGGGGGCGGGGAGGGAGCGGGGAGGCCGCGCCGGGCGCGCGCACCCCCAGGCCCGGACCTGCTGCCGCAGACCATCCCAGGGGCCGCGGGCCGTGCGCGCCCGCTGCGGCTTTACGGATACCGAGTCCCGGCGTGCAGCGGCCTCCGCGTTCCCGGACCCGGCCACCCCTGCGGGGAGGGGCACTAGTGGTGCGTTCCGGGGCGCGCACACCTTCGGCGACTCCCGGCTCCTGAAAGCCTCGGGAGAGGGAGGAGGACCGCGGAGCGCGGGGCGCGCGCCCAATAAGGATGGCGCTCGGCGTCCCGGCTCGCGCTACGGAAAGCCGGAGGGGGGCGGGGCCGCACGGCGTAAGGGGGTGTGTCCGCGCGCACCACGGGGGCGCGCGCCGGTCTCTGACTGGAGGCCGCCGCGGCTGAGGCGCGAGCTGCCCGATAATGGCGGCCTGCAGAGCCCGTGAGAGGGAGAAGCGGCGGCGGCTACCCTGAGGTAAATCTGGCCCTTAAGGCCTGGCAGAGAGGCCCTGCTGCAGAGCCGAGAGCCCTGCATGCGCCTCCCTCCCCGGGAGGCCTGTCACAGACCTGTCAGCGGAGTCCTCCTAGGGAAGGCCTCCGGCCCGCACTCCTCAGGCCACCGGCCCCGGCTGCGGCCTCCCTTTCTGCCCCTGGCCTCCTGCCCAGGCTCTGGGCCTCAGCCGCCAGCCCCAGGAGTCAGGGCAGCTGCAGGACTGGCTCCTCGGGGTGAAGGGCCTCGGGAGGATCCCCTCCGGGTTTGGTCAGGACGCCGCCGAGGAGGGGGAGGGCCTGATCCTCGGCCAATGAGCGGGGCGCTGAGCCGCCGCGTCGGGCAACACCTCTGCCCAGGGCTGGCCCTTCCCGGGCCCGGCAGGTGTGGGGCCGGGCCGGCCGGCGGCCCGGCGCTGGGCTAGCAGGGCCGGCCGGCCGCTCAGGTTCGCATCCAGGGATTTCATACACGCCCTCCCTCCCGCTTATTGGGGTGCCCTTTCGTGTGGGGGTACGGGCCAGCCTGCAGGCCACGAGCCACTTTGACACGGATAGTAATGGGCGATCCACGGAGAGCGGGAAAGAAAGGCTGCTGTGGACCTGGGGCACGGATTCCGTGGCAGGAAATCAGACACTAGGAAATGCAATAGGAATTTGAACGGGGGGGGGGGGGGTTCCAGTTAGAGGAAGTGGGACGAAGAAGTAATCTCAGAAGCTTTCATTTTCTTTATTAAATCTTCCCTATGGACTTAGAGTAGCTGGACCCAGTTTTTCAGGGTCAAGAGTCAGTAGCTTCTTGTACCCCCCAAACTGTCCGCTATGAAGATTGCACGATCTCTTGCGCATCGTGGCCAGCTGCAAATGAGATTTGTTCCCGAAGCTCATGAGAATCTCAACATTTTGTGGAGAATGAGGTGGCATGCTTTCGACTTTCTTGATACAACTCGCGAGCATTTCTGGGTAGGGCCTTTGCTTCTGCCTTTAAATGATTTTTCAAGTTGAAAGATCTCTGCCAGAGAGCCCCTTCATATGGAGGAGAAGGTTTTGGTGGCAAAAATGGTCTAGATCTAAATAGCTGTTGTCAAACTCAACAACAGAAAGGTAGCCATATTCTAAGTAGCTTGTTTTATTTTATTTTAAGTTTATTTATTTTGAGAGAGCGCGAGCTTGGGTGGGAAAGGGGCAGAGGGAGGGAGGGAGGGGGAGAGAGAGAGAGAAAGAGAAAGAGAATCTTTAGTAGGCTGCATGTTCAGCGCAGAGCCAGATGCAGGGCTCAATCCCAGGATTCTGGGATCATGACCTGAGCCAAAGTCAAGAATCTGTTGCTCAACCTATTCAGCCACCCAGGCGCTTTATTTTTAAAAGACCATTTTTCTCCACAAACTTTCTTTTCATTTATTTTGCAAGAAATGAGGAAATAACATAAAATTAAATTAAGGACATAAACAGTTTGACAGTTTACTAAAAAAAAAAAAAAAAAAAAAAAAAAAAAAACGAACAACTACACATTTTCAGTTCTATATGTAACGTGGTTCACTTTCAGTCCTTAAGCCCAAGCCAGGTGTTTGTATTTCTAACTGTGGGGGTTTTTTGTTTTTGTTTTGACATTTTTGTGAACTTGTGTGTGTGTGTCAGCTTTAAGGAGAAGCTGGAGTACTGCTTATCATTTTTACTTACTGATCAAGAAAAAACAAATTTTTTGGTTTGTTTTTAACAGTAATATTTTGAAGCAGTTTGTGTAAGAGGCAGTATAACGTAGTGGTTACAGTTATGAGGGTCAGAGCCAGATGACCTGGTTTCAAATCCCAGGTCCACCAGTTGGTAGCTGTTTGACCTTAGACATGTTGCTTAAACTGTGCTTTAGTTTTCTCATCTATAAAATGACCATAATAGTGTCTGCTTCAAAATATTGTTGTGAGGATTAAATGAATTTAATATTATAAAGTGCTTGGAATAGTTCCTGATACATGGTAAGTACTACCTAAGTGTTAGCTGATTTATTATTATTATTATTATTATTATTATTATTATTAAAATATTTAGATTTGCCTAAGTTATAACAGTTACCCTTCAAGCAGTACAAACAGTGAAACAGATAACTAAATCATACATAAGAAGGTATATAAGCCAGTAAGTATACTTAATTTCAACAGAGCAAACTTTGTTGATTTTTCCAGAAACTTTGACCTTGAAGATGGTGAGTAGCCAGCCAAAGTACGATCTAATACGGGAGGTAGGCCGAGGCAGTTACGGTGTTGTGTATGAAGCAGTCATCAGAAAGACCTCTGCACGGGTGGCAGTGAAGAAGATTCGATGCCATGCACCTGAAAATGTTGAATTAGCCCTGCGTGAGTTCTGGGCCCTAAGCAGTATCAAGAGCCAACATCCAAATGTGATTCACTTGGAGGAATGCATCTTACAAAAAGATGGGATGGTGCAAAAAATGTCCCATGGCTCTAATTCTTCCCTTTATTTACAGGTATGTGTGGTTGAATGGGAAATAGAAGTGACTTGAACATAGCATTGGTCAGCAAAAAGAGAAATAAAAGCGTCAGATAAACTTGTACTTTTAAATGCAGGTGTTTATATAGTTAGGAGTAGATAGGGGTCTGCCAAGAACTGAGTAGGTGTTTGCTTTAAAACAAGGTTTTATTTAAACCTATGATGCAAATACCTAAAAATAACATAAGCCACCTGTTATGCCATGATACTTGCCAATCTGCATGGGAATGGGGCAATGTAGGAACTAGAGAAGTGATTGAGATCAGAGTCTAATAAATTCATTTATTTGAAATCAATCTTTTGGGGAACTGAAGACAGAAGAAATGAAAACTCCACAATCAATAGCAGTACCCATATAGATAATTGGGCATTTCTTTATAAATCAGTAGTTTGAACAAAAGCCTCTGCTGTTTTAGAGGGTTACGTGGTTTCTTAACCATGCAACTCCAGTTAATTTTCATGAGGTATGTGGCATAGCACTTGAATGTTATTAATAGTGCTAATCGCTAACGTTTGGGTTCCTACTCAGTTCTGTGCTCTGTGCTAAGTGCTTTAAAGGCAGTTGCTCAGAACAGTCTTGTGAAGGTGGTATTATTATTATCATCATTACAAATGAAGAAACTGAGGCTTAGAATAAATAATGAATTTATTAAAGTCGCCTATCTAGCAAGTGACAGAATTGGAAGCTGAATATAGGAGACTATCTGACTGCTAAAACTTGTGTTCCCTTAACTTCCAAATTACTCTTGCCTCCAAATTACTTTTTTTGTAGACCTGGAGAAAGCATTAACATAGGAAAACAGAAAAGATTTGCTAGATTTTATTAGGTTGGCTTCTGACATAGATCAAAATCTCTAGGAGGCCTATACTTGCTGCATAGAAAAGGTATTTAAAACATAGGTAGTTAAAGGCCAGACGAAAATTTCTTAAGTCTAGTCATTCTTGGAAAAAGAAATAACTTTCTATGAGTATGTCTAAATTCAGAATTTACCATCAGGGTACAGAAGTATGATTTTAAAATAACAAAAGCTTTTGGACTAGGAACAACAAGGAAGACAAACACATTAATCTGTGTAATTAGAAACCTGCAGGTTTCATCATATGGTAAACAAATATCAATCTTGAGAACCTAATTTATATCGTAGTTTAGCATGCTCTGCCATGAAACCTCTTAAGGCAGTGACTATACAGCCCAACTATTTAGCCTCTATTTGATTTATTATTTACATTTCTAAAAGTGCTTATTATGTCCGTTGCACTGATAGGAAATATTAGAAACAGTCTCACCACATTCCCTCTTAAAAGTGAATAGGACCTTGCTGAACTTTGCGTTGAATTTTGGAGACCAAGATATATAATCTCTCTTGGACTACAGATACAAAGACGTTTAAATAAATGACTTATTGCTGATGGTATCCTTGATCCAGATCAAGCAACCTTCATAGTAACTAGGCATTAGGTGGTCTTTCAAGGCTTTAAGATGTAAAGTACTTCCAGACTTGATTCAGTGATTTTTTTTTTTTTTTTTAATCTAAAGCACCTTTTTATTTGTACTCTTACATCTTTGAAAGCTTGGTAGACCTGTGTTCGACTTGTAGCACTTTTGCTAGCTGTATGACCTTGGCTAAATAGCTCGTGTCTTCCTAGCATCTGTATCTTCAGACATAAAATAGAAATAATAATTTTTACCTTCCATGGGAGTTGTCAAAATTAGAGATGATGCAGGTATAATATTTGGCACATAGGAAGTACTCAATAGTAGGTCATTGTTAAAATTGTCTTTTCTATGGATTTATTTAGTTCACCAGACATTGATCAACACATTTAGCAAATACCTTCTCTAAATTTACATCTGATAAAAACAATTAAATCTATAATGTGACCACAGAGTCCCTACCCCTGGCTTTCTCCATTCTTTACACGGATTTTTGTTTTTCTCTGTGTTTTTCTAAGTATTTTCCTTGTTCTAAAAGATTAAACCAGTTCCTAATAGCTAAAAACCTTACCTAGAAGAAAATGTAAAACAAATAATTAACAGAGGATGTAGTCTCACCATAGGAACTTAGTGGCCAGTCTGTATAATTTATAATAAGTGTCGTGAATGAGAGGTACAGGATGATATAGGAGCATATGATAGAGAACCTGACATAATTCTGGGGTTCAGGAATTATGAACTTTCAACTGAGGGATACCTGGGTGGTTCAGTTGGTTAAGCCTCCGACTTCAGCTCAGGTCTTATCTCATGGTTTGTGAGTTCGAGTCACACGTCAGGCTTTACATTGACAGTGTGGAGCCTGCTTGGGATTCTCTCTCTCTCCTTCTCTCTCTGCCCCTCCCCCACTGTCTCTCAAATATATATGCATACATACACACACACAGGAACTGTTTCAACTGAAACAGTGGAAACATGAAAGATAAAGAGGAGTTAGCCAGGTGAGTGAGTGAGAAAACTTCACAGCCAAAAAGAACTGTACGTACAAATATCTTAAAGCAAAAAGTACAAAACATTCTAAGAAGTGAAAGAAGATAATAAGGCTATACTGTACTGGGAGAGTTGTTTTAGATGAGACTGGAAATATCAGCAGGGTTAGAGGATCCCATAGGCCATGTTAAAGAGCTTAGATTGTATCCTAAGAGATCAGGGAAGCTATTGAAGGACTTGAGCCAAGAGAACCTATGGCTGATGACATCCTCTACACGTGGAAATAAGCAGATTGGGCACTGTACTTCTAGAGCTCTCAACCAGTGACCCTCAAACTATAGCCCTCAGCTAGTTTTT